TTTTTTTTTTTTTTTTTTTTTTTTTTTTTTTTTTTTGCAAATATTTGGCTCGAATTAGCCAAACGAAAAACGGCTTCTTCCTTCTTCGCTTTAGCCTTGCGGCAGCACAAAAAAGGACATGAATATATATACATCACTGCTCCGGTCAATAAATAAATATTGTTCCGTGGACAGCGCGCAACTATTTGGTACCAATGCGTCTAGCACGATGCTTAACCCATGCGGTGCGTCCTTGCCTTTCACGGACTGCCAAAGGGTGATACTTTCAAATGTTCACACAGGGAGTGGCGAACGGGAACGCCGGAAGTTTTTTTTCCCCTTCTATATTCACGTGTTGCACTGCCAAATGAAGGGGACTCATATTTGAGGACAGAAAACCAAGCATAAAAAGTTCCTTTGGAGGAAGGTGTCTCCCCTTGTATAAGAAAACGAAATTATTTTCAGTGAAAAGTCCGGCGTCCATTCACAAAATTGGGGTTGTAAAAATGGCTATTCCGAGTTGCCCCTTAACTGGAAATACATGACAACCCTCTTGCTCTACGTAAGGGTGGAACGAGACTTGGATGAAATTTATTATTTTCTATTTCTCCCCGCTCGTTTCACAATCTGTTTATATGTGTGTCCATACCACCTCCACAAACAAACTGTATATAAACGGACGTGTGGGTCAAAATGCCGCACGGGGGCCGTTAACACGGACTCTATACATAGGTGAAGCAATTGTGAAAAGGAAAGAAGCCACAGCAATAGAAATGTACTTTAAAAAAAAAAAAAAAAAAAAAAGACGAACGGATAAATATACTAATGAGGAATGGGCAGGACGCTACGCACTGCTGACCCCTTGTCACCCGCGTGGCGGCGCGGAGAAAATGTCCATGTTCCTTCGACTGGGTCCCCAAAAGTAGTACTCGTGAATGCAGAGGACACATCTGTAGAAGATATTGGTGGGCTTCAAATTGTAGGTCAAAAAAATAAACCCACTGGAGAAGACAGAAAAACGAAGGAACCTTCCCACAAGGGGGTAGAAATAAATATTTAAAAAGCAACAAAATAATGTAATAATAACGAGGAAGTAGCCAAACTTTCGCAAGACAAAAAATAAAATCTGTGACCACTTGGTGAAACAGAAAAGCATGTAGTGTACATATTTTACATTGTTAATAATTTCATCTTCTATTATGTTTGCAACGAATGTTTTAATAACATCTAGGTTATTATCTGTGCTGTCGTTAGTACTGCTTTGGTTGTCTGTTAGATTGGGGTCGCTACTCATGTCATCGTTATCCGTGTTGACTTCCCCCGTGCAGCTGCTGCTACTCTTTTGTCTTTTCCCTTTCCCCCCCTTGGACGAGTCTCCGCACATGTTACTTGTATCGTTGTCCATGCATGCCTTGTCCTTTTTATTTTTCTTTTTGCCTTGGGGGTGGTCTTTATTATCTTGATGTTTGTCCTTCCTTTGACTGTCGCCCCCGTTCTGACCCTGTTGTTCACTTGTTCCTCCTTTCGCATTATTCTCCATGTTAGAGCTCTTTGAGGCACCTCCCCCACTGCTGCACTCGTCCTGGGCGCTCGGAAGAGCACTAGACTCCGCGTCTCTCCCGCAGGAGTCAGAAAGTCCACTCGAATGATCAGTACTCAAATCAGTTGAAGAGCAACTACTATAACTACCTCTGCTGTCGGAGCAGCTCCCCGAATCGCTATCCTCCTCTAAAGTGTTATCATATAAACCTGGGTCCTCTCCCTTTGGCGGGCAATAACCACCAAGGTTCTTGGCCTGCATCCAGTAGCTAAGGGGTTTACTCTTCTTCTTTTTCTTCTTCTTCTTCCCTTCCTGTCCTGACCACGAGTGAGCATTCGACGCCCAGCCACAATTGACCCAAGTGCCCACTTGGCCACTTCGTTTAATATTGTCACTTTCCCTTATGATGGAAACCAAAATGAAAAAAATTATACTTAGGGCTACTAAAAAAAAAGATAAAAAAAATTTGGAATACACAAAAGAAAAAAAAAAAAAAATTAGAAAAGAGATCGAATATAATGGAGTTTTCCATGAGGCAAAGTTATATATAATTGAAAAGAAAGGCAACCAGATCGTTTCTACATTTCCTTTTATAGCTATTAACTCATCATACAACTGATTTATGTTTAGCTCTTTGTCCAATATTTCGTTGCTCTTGTGGACATAACAATAGTTAAGGGACGAAATGTAGATTAACTGCAGAAGGAAGTTGTTGAAGTTTTTTTTATTCACTAATTTAGCAAAGATGCGAACGTTGTAGTCGTTCTGGAACTTTTCTCTTCCCCGTGGGTAGATATCATTAGTGCAGTTGGTACAACCATTGTTGTGAGTGGCTTCCTCTGTGTGGCCCCCCTTTGTATTGTCCTTGCTTGCCTCATCATTTAGCTTCCTCTTATAATAATTAGGATCCATTAAATATCCCACTTTGTTATTGTACTTAAGAATTATATCATACTTCTTGTCCAGCTGTAGGTAAAAAACATCAATGAAGGCACTGCCAATATATTCATCCTGCACGATCCCCTCCGTTTCATCCATGTCGTACAACTGAATTTCAATTTTACTTTTTATGTAATGAATTTGAATGTCTATTTTTTCTTCCCATATGCTTAAGGAACTGTTTAAAACTTTGGTCCTGTATATTTCTTTATCATTTAGGAGGATTTTTAAATAGGGGTACATTAGGTCGTTGTGTTTATTCGACCTGTAAGTACTTATTCTGTTTAAATATCCGTATAGGAATAACTTCACGATCAGGAATCCCTTTGTTCTCTTTGCATTAAAGGTTTCCTTTGGGTTAATAAACCCGTTCCACCACTTGTACTCCTTCAAGGTCCCATCGTCTTTTATATTTACCAAGTGTGTCCCCTTTTCTAAAATTAAGCTCTTTGAAAAGCGGGCTATTTTGCTGTTGCCGCCAGCGCCCCCGGATGATACCATTTCGAAGGAGTCGGCGCGAGATGGCGTCTGCCTGGTCTACCTTGCCTACGTGACCTACCTAACCTACTTGGTGTATCCTTTTTTTTTTTTTTCCCGTAACGCGGTGTGCACATTCATACAATACGTACACGCGTGAGCAAACGCATGTGTACGCATGTGTGTTCCTCTGCGGGCGTGGCGACTTCGTCACACACGAGGAGGTTCCATGCTTTGACGGGTGTGACAGCCAGAGTGGTAACAAAACAAAACCCAAAGAATGAAAAAACAAAAGGGCAAAATGAATGGTGAAAAAAAAAAAATGGCGTAACGCATTCAGTAATTGCGAAGCTGGTTTTTCATATTTTGTGCCCACAGTGTCCCTAACACATCAAACTTTTTACCATGCCAATATTAGCATTTTTTTTTTTTTTTTTCTTTTCCGCCACACAAAAAGTGCAAATATTTATGGACAGGGCCCAAATAAGGCGATCAATGTTCACATTCTTAAAATTTCCCCAAATGTGCATGCATACGGCTATGCTCAAGGCCCAATTGGCGAAACATGTTGTATTGGTCGATACGCACATGTACAAAAGCGCGATTGTTGAAACGGACAAAAGGGAAAATCATTTCGTCTGTTGCTGTTCAGGCCATATGACTTTTTTTTTTTTTTTTT